ATCTATCTATCTATCTATCTATCTATCTATCTATCTATCTATCTATCTATCTATCTATCTATCTATCTATCTATCTATCCATCCATCTATCTATCCATCCATCCATCTATCTACATGCAGGTGCAATATTTCTCACTGAAACCTGTGAGTTTCACGAAAAAGGCAAAGAGTTTGTAGCTGTTACTCAATAAAAAAGAATCATGAGGAATAAGTTTCTGGACATTCAGATCAATAACTCTGCTATCATCTCTCCATCTCTCAAGTTTAGAGCAACCTGAGGTGAATCTATGTGAAGTTAATGGCATCTATTAACAACCAAGAAGTGCTTTTATATATATATATATATAATATATATACATATATGTTCTTATGTTTTTTTTGTTGTAGATGTCTTATTTAATTCCGAGTGAAATTTACAGTTTCAGTGCATTGATGTCATTTTGGACAATAAAGTTTATTGTTAAACTGTAAAATATCCTGCTTTCATTAAATATCTTTTTATATCTGTTAAATATCTGTTGTGTATATATATATATGTACAGTATATATATGTATAGTATATATTGGCCNATATATATATACACATATGAATTGTAACTGAAAGCAGATCTACCTACTCTCACACAGCACTGACAGGAGCATTGTGCATCATGTCACTAACAGCAAGTTAATACAGAGAGTGGAGGCCGGTGCACAGGAGGCCTGGTGATGGTGAGTCTATGATGAACAGGACATATGTGAATTGGGTTTATCAAACTGCTGACAGAGCTGTTGACGAGATGGAAGGACACGAAGAGTGGTGTGTTTTGTGCCCATCCATCAGGAGCCCCCCTCTACTGTCAGCCCCTGACAGAGGGGACGTTGGCTCCAGGGTTTTTGTGATGGGTCGCTGACGGGAAATGTGTTCACATGTTATTCTGAAATTGTGAGTGTGTGTGTGTGTGTGTACTTGACATAAGAGTGGAGGATGAGTGGCAAGAATTTATGCCTGGTTTAAATGCACTGAAATCTGGCTGCAAATAAATTTTTTTTTTAAAAAACAGAAATGTGAAGGTAGGCTGGGTAGGCGTCGTCCTTGGCTGTCAGATAATAAAAGACGGATCTTTTCCTGTGTACAGTTCAATGGCGAGTGACTAAACTGCTGTCAAGCCAGTGGCCGCTCTCTTTCACTTACAACACAGCAATTGTGACATTTCTGGAAACAGAAATAATTATATTTACAGCAACACTCCAGAAACAAATAATCACATGTGACCTGTCATAGCACACAGGCTAAATTTATACTGATCTCTATGACGACAGCAGATACACTGTGCACAACCTCACAACATGAGCTGCTGCTGCTGTCAGTCAATAGCTGCACTGCAGCCTCGCGTGACCCAGCACCGCAGGCCTCACCTGGTAAACGCCAGAAACTGGAACACCAGCAGGTTTCCCTGTAGGAGGTCTGTCTCTTCACGCTGGGGGTCAAAGGGCACGGGCTCTGTGGGATCCAGGACTTCTGCCACCTGCCCGCTGCAGTCCATAATCTCTGGGAAGCCGGCCGAGTAGAGGTGGGCGAGCGAGCTCCTGGAGCTGACTGAGCAGGATCTAGAGAAGAAGGGTTAAATTAGAGAAAAAGCTGCAGATCCATGAGTGCACATCAATCATTCACCACACTGAAAAGATTTGAGTGAACGCTGCTCTTGATGCTTTACGAGCAGCAGGATGTAATGTTTTTATTCCCCGCTGCACTGGCCTCACTCGGGTGATTTGTGTTTGTAAATGAGGCAGAAAAAACATTTGGCTCCGAGTGGAATACGATGCTGTTTTATCATTTTAGACCCAGCGCTATTCGTCTTGGATCACTTCCATCCTGACTCAAAATGTTTATCCTTTGGGAGATAACTTCACTTTACTCACTTCATCCTATTTGCAATGAACCTGAATTTCAATGTCCGACAGGACTTGAGAAAAAAAACGTGATGAGACGGTGATTATACAGGATGAGTATGTCAGAGATGTCTGTTAAGCAGCAGCACCACATAAACACTTAGAGTGGAGAGAGAATGGGTGCCAAAGTGCTCCCTCAGGATTTTCTAGTATAATTGGCATTTACCTCTAATCATAGTGGCCACCTGTTTTTCTGCAACTATGGAAACATTCATAACTTATACTTTCAACGCTGACACCAGACACTGTGGGTATGATAAACACAGTGCACAGATGGCCGGCTATAGTGCATGCACAGAAAAATGATGCTGGTGCTTATCATAACAGTGACGCTGCCTGTGTCCAGTCGGTAAACAGTCGAGGCCACGGCGGCAAATCTGTGAGAGAGAGAAGCTTTGATCAAACTAATTAAGGCAACAACAGTAAAGATATTTGATTGGCTTTTCCTCTGCGGCTGTGTCAATTTCATGCTTTCCCTCTCTCAGACTTATATCTTAATTTAGCCCCAGTAGATTAATATTCAAGCCATCATTTTTATTTCAAAAGAGGCTCAATCAGATATGCACAGCAACTTCAATTAAACTTCTTTAGACTTCATTGTTCTCCTCAGAGAAGTGGGTCATTCCAAACCAAAAACAGTCAAAAAGATGTTTTGGCTCCGAGTGAAGAGGCAGAGATGTTTCAACCCACTGAACTGAACAGCATCGTGTCTGGATCCAAACTCTGGGATTGGGAAACTGTTTTGATGCCAGCTGCTTATTTACAGACTCTCTGTGCTAATGCAATGCCTTGTTTCTGAGTTACCGTGCCCATTATTTACAGGGTGTGCATTCTCAGTTGGTGTCGCACCTCAGCAGACCCTGCTGCATTTCCGCAGCCATTATGATATCCTCTCCAATCTCTATTATTAGCTGTGTGTAAACTGTGAGCTCATTTCACTGCATTCTGCTCCACTAAATCAAATCCAAAACGTCTCCCTTGCAGCTGGATTTAATCATGAATTTTCACACTAGCAAACAACGCTGAGACCATTATCCCAAAGTGGGATGTAAAGGCTGACAAAACAATTTCTTTAAATTGGCTCGGAGCTGAATTCTCCTACTTACTGACAACACTGCTGTACTGCCCAGTGCACACATGCTGCCAATTAGTGAGCCGATCGATACCCCTCTGTAGATAGCGAGACAGTGAACTATTGTGGTAATGAAGGACTGTACTAGTGTTGACACCGAGATACCGGGCCCGATAAAACAGTAACAAGTTAAGAGGAGGTTTAAAGTGACTTCATCCTATAACGTCTCCTATTAAATAACACTCAGATCACACTCACATGCTGTAGTGGAGAAGTTCATCAAACCAGAGACTTTAGTGAGGAACTGATCACAGAAAATACAACCAGGGAAAAAAATAACTTGTTTTATAAACTCGAGCTTCATATGTATAATCTAGGACGTCCAGGTGGGGCTTGTTTCATATGTCTAAAAAACACCAGATAACGTCCTTTTCACACTGAAACGCTGACCAACAATTCAAATCCACTCAAGTCAGTATTCAGCTAATGGATTTTCAAGGTTAACCATCACGAGCATCTATCATTATACTGGGCAGTGCTTAAGGCTTCACAGCAGCTGGCCTCTTTATTGCGATTCAGATGACACAGCTGATGCCAACACTAACATACATGCAGCGGTATTTTTCCTTTCTCCTCACACAGGATCAGGCGTGGTTTCTGGTCTGGTCCCAGATAATGGACTTAGCAAAGAAATAATGTCCAGCATGTTTTATGAAGACTGTCCATTTGTTTTATTCTTACTTTTTCCATGCAACTATCACTGCATGTTTTTTTTGTTGCTTTCAGACACTTCAAGATGTTTTTTTTTATCATATTTCTTCATGTCAGCTTCAACAAAAACCATCATGGAGGTTTTACAGCATAAACACCTCTTTATTTTCTGGGGCAGCTCATTGCCCATATCAGACGCAGACTATAAGAAGGGCTCACCTCGGCACATTCATCCCCAGGGTGATGACAGGGGCGTGGACAGGTGTGAAGGGCAGCTCCTGAAGTTGGTCTCCTTCGTTCTGAGCTGAAGATGACACGTCCTCTTCCCGCTGAAGGCCCATCTCCAGGTGGGCGATGTTGCTGACGGCTGAGCAGGCCTGGAGCACCATGGGATGATACAGACGCAAGAATGGAAAGTTTTTAGTTAATATGTATAAAGAGGCCAGGAAAGCTGAAGTGCAGGTTTCTGCAGTCCATGCTGATGTTTCAGTTAATGGGGAAAGAAATGCAATGAAAAAGTAACAAAAAAAAAAAAAGCTCTTTGATTCAAGTTAACACAAACCATCTCAAATCAAAGATGGGTTGCGGTCAGAAAGGAATCCAACTGCACTTTCACTAGGATTTTTTTTTAACAAACTTCATTTATAACACATGGACAATAAATACTCAATCCCTAACCAGAAACACAATGTACAAGATAATGTGAAAGAAATGTAAAAAAAGCCTTTAAAGTAATAATTCAATAACAATAAGCAACTGAGTAAAGGGCCAGAAAGGATTATATTCAGACATAAATAGGCCTATTTAGAGTTTTTTTAATACACTTGTTAAGTAGGAAAAAAATATTTTTTTAGTGCAGTAAGCCGAGTTTTGTAACAACATTTATGTATAGATATTTATGATGATGCTTATCTTTCTAGAGAATAACTACATTTATGGATTTGCAGCTCAGACAATCAGACAAGGATTTCCATAAGTTTTGAATTGTGTCAGAAACATAAAACAGATGTTCTGTTGTTTCTACATTTACATGGGTCTGCTGTGGTGAAACTACAATGGTACATTGCTTTGAATGTTGTTGCAGCAAGGAATTGTGGGATGGCATTTTCTCTTTTCCTTTCATAAAGGAAGGTCCAGTGTTTCCTATGCTTAAGGAGATAAGATAGGAAGCGTTGAAGCTCCTTTCCTTATCAATTAGAGAATTGGACCAGCTCTTATTGTGGCTGCTGCTCAGATACTTCCAGGTCATTTCACTCAGTTAGAGTAAGACTTTTCCACTGCAGCCATGGTGCAGGATTTCTTCCTCATCCCCGACTGCAGCGTTGCTCAGCAGCGGTGCTCTCAGTGCTGCCACTAGTGGCTGGAATATACACTATATCATCGGTAGTATTGCTGCAATATAGCAGTACATAATTTTTGTTACACTAGAGCCATGCTCTGTAGATTTTTTCCCCACCAGTAGTCACTTAGGAGACTCCCTACCATCCACTAAGATCATATTCATCAGCATCTTACAGAATCACAGATAGCCAACGCCTCTATTAAGTCAGAAGTTGATTGTACAAAAGTGTGGTCAAAGGCAGCATCAAGAAATGACTGCACTTTAGTACAGCCAGGAATCCAGCCAGGACTTCATTATAAATAATTGGCATCTGGATGCATGAAAATTACACAGAAAGTAAAACTGTTTTGTGGAGGCTCGGGTCAAAGTGAAGTGGCAGCGAGAGAGAAAGCTCGTAGTGGATTTGTCAGAACTGATTCTGGAAATGGTTTAATACTCTGGCTCCTCCAACACTATACTTATTTGGAGAAATAATGGACTTGGATACACAGGAGTCACATGTCACAGGGGACATAAAGAGCTTAGCCTCTTTCAGGTTCACCTGGGCCTTAAATGTCTTCAGTGCTTCTGAAGGCTCATCTGTCAGTTAAACCACCGATACTCTCCTCTGTGTGGTCGACTCATTACTGGAGCGTTTATCATATCCTTGCTCAGGATGTGAGTCAGTGTTCAGATCCACAGGAAGTAACTCTCCTGGATTATAATTGATTTAGAACTATAAACACTGTAAATCAAGACGTTTAGTAGCCAAAGATAAACACGATGGCGTGTGCTCTGCTTTTCTTAATTCCACATGATGTGTGGAAAATGATAAAATTATTACCTACAGTGTGTTGATTTGATATTTAACTCTCTGTATGCCTCTTTAGTGTTGTGCTGTTTTATCACCAGTGTTTTACTACACTGGATCTTATCTGCTTTTAGAGTCCCTTGTTTTCTGACCTCTACTGTACAACATACCTTTAAGTTGGAAATACTCCATAAATAAACTTGACGTGGAGACAATACATCACCAAGCTTAAGTGGTAAGGTGTGCCAATGCAATTTCTCAAGCTATCAAAGAGCAGAATATCGCGGGTTTTCCTGCGAAGCACTGGATTCATCGCAACTTTCAAAACTCCAGTGATCTGCTCTCGCTCAGTTTCTAATCAGGCTTTAACATACATCAAATACACTGTTAAACTGCCCATTTCATTCTATACTGATTGTTTATAAATCCCACAAAAAGACCAAAACCAACAATGTGTTTGTCCATCTCTCAGTACTACTTCCATTTCCCTTCTCTGGCTGTGGCCCCAAACCCACTGGTTCTCAGTGAAGATGCAAATCTTTCAAAGTGGGTCGTTTAATCTCAGTCATTTCCAAAAACAACTGGGCGCTGTGGTTTTTAGCAGATGCCACTTGAATAGGAGTAAACAGTGCATTTGTTGGGGACTATTTTCAGTCTAAAGTTAATACACATTCATGCTCTGGTAATTTGGCAGCAGGATGGTGAGTGTGGTATTGACTCTCAATGCTGATGTTCATCTTAATGAAGGAACATCAGGTGAGCCAGTTCAGTGTTGTGGGGATCACTGATTTGTATAGTTGAACATCACAGTGGAGCTTCATGGCTCAGAGGAATAAGCTGCATCAGGCTTTGGATACACAGACAGAGGAATCAATGAATTGTTGGTTTTGATCTTTTCGTGTGATTTGTTGACTAAAACAAATATATAACCAGCCAAAAAAAATAACATGAATGTTTTGCATTCTAAGAAATTATATTGGGAGCACTTTAATAGCTAGTGTAACCAAGAGAAAGTTATATTCAGCCAACAGAACATGCAAAAACATCTATATGGAATACAGTTCAACATATGCAATTAAGTGAAAATTTGCTTGCTTCAAGGGCATTCCTGTGTCCCTTGAATTTGTACCAAGTCCTTACAGGAAACTTCCACAGACCCCATAAAGTGCAGCGTTAACTTATTTTTTTGAGTGAAGATGATGCATTTTCTGTGAAACATCAGCATCTCTTCCACTTATGAGAATAAGAACAAATGTGGTAACTTTTAATTTAACCAAAGTGCCATTGACAGTCGATTTCTCATTTTAATTTAGATAAATGTAAACAGGACTGCTTACCAAGCAGAGTTCCCACTCTTTGCTAAAAATAATTTTCCAGGACATTTTCAGTGATGATGTAGTTCATAAGACAAGACAGGAATCACACCACACACCGATATGTTCCTATGTGTGGAAGTTTGATTTAAAATATGTGCAGTCTATACTTGCCTATACGTAGCTATGAAATCATCTCTTACATGCTTAATTAATCATCAAATTATAACACATTTGTGGCAATAATTTATAATTATTATCATTATTTATTCATAACATGACTAACTTATTTCTTAAGAATTATATTAACCGTTGCTATCTGGGCACTAATAACACAACACTACAACAGTTAAACATGTCATGTGATATTATCATCCGTTTTACCTGAACTACTCAGCATTGTGTTTGAAGTGATGCTAACAAAAATGCTAGCAAAGCTAAACCAGCCGTTAGCGAGTATTTAGCCGGTGTTTGGCTGACATACATTTGGGCTCCCATTCATCATTATTATTATCATTATCATCCAACTCTCAATAAAGAGTCAACACACATTTAAAACCTTAACTCCGCCATAGTTGAACCACAAACCTTAAACCTTTAGCTAGAGGCTAAACAAGCTAGCAAGCTACTGAACCAAACATGCTAACCCGTTATTTAAATGTTTAAAACAAGTTGGGAAGAAGACGTTAATCTATAAACATGACAAAAAATACCACAGTCGGCAGCAGACAGTCAGTCACGTACATTTAAAGGTAATGTAACTTACATTTTTCAGAGTTTCGGCCACTAACGTTGTAAATCATCCAACCTGCAGCAGGTGATGTGACCTTGTGGTGAGTTCACAGCACTGCCAAACAAAACCGACAGCAGCCTATTCAAAATACTGCCGTCCACAAACCCTAACCCCAACCCTAACCTTGAAAATCAGACAATGTTGGAATGATTTTCCACGACATCACACACATTTTCCAGGACATTTTACTGTTTTCTCTAATTTCTCCATGCGTTTTCCATGACTGGAAAACTGGTCAACCTGGTTTTCCAGGTTTTCCAGGACGTGTAGGAACCCTGCTAAGTGATGAGTTAAAGGCCATCAATTCATTGTTTATGTTGTGATTTAGATGCGTTCTTGCATTTGCATCTGCAGCTCAGTCACTGACCTTCTAATGTTTGACAATATAATTTCTTGTCATCAATTTTTGCTTTTGCAGAAAAATAACAGTAAATGCCTCTGGATCAATTTAACATTCCTACATTTTTAGTGGCAAACATTAATCCCCTCTTCATTGTCATTGACACACACATAGCTGGAGGGGTATTACCACAGATAATTAGCAAAGGAGTGCTAATGGTGTCATTTTCCAGTCAAGCATTTTTCCTTTGGTCTTTGATACATGCAAACGGTTCAGTTGGCCTATCAGAGGACATGCATGGCTGTACATTATTGAGCTTTCCATCAAACATGCTAGTAATAACCTCGACCAAAGTCACGCCGCTACATGGATACAACATACATATCCATGTTCCTCTTCTGATCAAACAGCCTGTGCTGTAATAACCTGAGAGGGTGCCAGTGCGTGGTGTAGAAGCCTCCGCAAGTTGAAAAGGCTCCATGTAATGGCTTTATACTGTATCTGAACCTGCTGCCATCAAGACTACCCTGTCAAATGACACATGAGTAATTGGTTTTTATGGGCAGGTGTTTTCAGGTCATGGAGAAGGACAAATGGAGGTTTCAACAATAAATTCCGCAGACTGATTTAATGACTCAATATATGCAAAGAGAATGTCACAAAAACTCATTTACAGTATCGTAACTGAAAACTAATGGCAGCTAGTGGAATTTAGGATGTAATGTATCACACTTATCCATGGCTTTAATGTTGACAGTGTTTCTTTTTTGAATTGTACAGAATGAGCTGCAGAAGATGAGAAACGCAACTGCGCCCAAGAAATGGTCCGAGAGTTTAGAAGAAACAGGATGTGACCCGAGACACCACATTCATTTGTTTACCAGTGAAGGGTTGAAGCAATAAAATAAAGCAATAAAACACACCCATACACTCAGGGGGTTTGGCAGCTACAGCCTGGTATCACTAGTATCTTATGGCAAACCTTAGATTATATCACTGTGTAACTGGCACAGTTCATTTCATGACTTCTGCACTTGTGCACTACAACTGTTACACTACGTTTAAGCATTTACAACTACGCCGCAATTACCACAAAGTGATACCAGCTTGCTTTAACTCTGACAGTGTGCAGATTCTCTCTGAGGTGTTGGTTTACGTTGATAGCCACGTATCCCCTGAGGCTTTTCAGAACCGATGCTGATGATTATTTTACTTCAGGGAGGTTGAATTATCCAAAAATACTTCATGTTCAAGTGAACAAGCTTAACAGACAACTAAATTGTTGTTATGGTAAAGCAGTTCAGCTTCTCTCCTCCTGCCCAACCTGAGGGATAAACAGATTAAAAAATGGCGTCCAGCTGACTGACAACATTAATGTGTTATTCCTTTATAAAATAACACAAAATTAATCCTAAAATTACTTGTAAGAGTTTTATTAAAGTTACCAGTAAACGTCAAAGTGCTTTACACTACAGTGCTTTTACTATGTCTTCAGCACTTTCCTATCACACTCAAACACTGACGATACATTGGGGGCAATTTGGGGTTTAGTATCTTGCCTAATCGGGGATTGAACCACCGACCTCCTGATTACCTCAGGATGTATAGAAAGCATGTCGCTTGACATTTAACCAAGAATACTAAAATACAGGATGCCGTCAACTCTGGACTACCAGTGTAGTTGTAGATATCTATGAAACAGATAAGTTGTTTTAACAATATTTCCATAGTGTGAACTAGTCAGTCTTTCAAAACCAAATTGAATTGTGTCTTTTTTTAGCCATGTTGTGCTTCTGACTATTGTTATCTCCAGTAAGCCTGATCCACAGTTCCTGGATTATTCCTGCAATATGATTCACAGCTTAAGCTATATGGATTATGGGAGAAACCCATTAAAGCTACTGCTGTCTAGTTAGAATATGAGCAAAGTCCTTCTTAGCTGTGCTGAGGCGTAAAAAACAGGTGGACTGGCCAGAACAGCTCTGAAACAGCACCTACAATCCACCGTGATAACAAACGGTGAATGAATAAAATTTATGGAGAAGCCCACACTACGTATCTAAACCCACGACAGTATGAAGGAATGAGACAATGATTTACTGTATTCACTCACAGAGTTTTCCACATTATCTATTTAACTACTGAATGATAACCTGACGCAGCAGATGGTTGGTTACGCAGAACCATCTGGGAAGGCTTCGGTGGAAACTGTTTGGGCGAAGGACAGGTGCGTTAGAAAAAACACTTGGCAGGTGAGTGAAGGAATCATCTGTCTATCACATGCTAACGTCAACCAATCAGATTCTGCAGCCTTCAGTGGAGCCAGTTGTTAAATCAAACTTTTGCTGAAGTCAGTCGGGAGAAGAGTGGGAACAACTTTTCCATCAAGAAAAGTCATCAGTGCCGTTTTCTGCTCTTCTTTCAAAGAAGAAATACTCTGACATAACTGATGTACGGAAGCCGAGAAAGGCCATACTCACAAATATTTTTTAATCTCGTTATCTCGAGATAACAGAGCTTTGTTTTCTTGAGATAACGGGATAATTATTTTGTTATCTTGAGGTAACGGAGCAATTTTATGTCAAGATAATGAAATAATTTTCTCTTTATCTCGAGAAAGCAAAGCTGCCTTATCTGTTTTCTCAAGATAACAAAATAATTTTCCTGTTATCTCGAGATAACGGGATATAAAATATTTGCGAGCATGGCCCTTGTCTGCTTCCATACTGATGCTATAGCAGCATCTACGTTAACCTCTTTAGGGAGTCATTAACACTGTTGTTATCGAACAGTCGCGTCTCCTCGTCGCCACACCAAAGACACACCTGTAGCTGCCTGTAGTTCCTCCCTCGCTGACGCTTATTGGTCTGAACCACCGTGGTTCAGCCACCAGCCAATAGCTCGGAGCCTGAGAAGATGGATGCTCGCCTGCAAGAAATCCATCAGCCTCACAACATGAACTGGACAAACTACTGAGACTGAATTACTGTTACTGAAAGTACAACTAAATTCTTAGAAAAGGTTGAATCCAAATGCCCAGTAATCCCTGCAATTCCAGACTCATGAAGTCCAGAGTGCAGAGAGCCGTCCAAATCCTCAATTCATCATGGGGCCTCAAGCAATCGTTCTGCTGACTTGGAGAGAGTCCACCGTGTGTGTAGATCAGACTGTTACAGGAAGAGGAGAGGAGCTCAGATCGAAGGCGAAGCTCTTGATTTACTACTCGATCTATATTCCTGCCCTTCACTGTGGTCATGTGTTTGGTGTAATCACCAACACAATTAGCAACCAACATCTGGACTTTGGAGTAGAACTGCTGCTGGTTTGCACTGAATGGTGAAAGTTGAGTTGGTTTGGACATGTGATAAAAATGCATGAGGATGAAAGTATTCCAGAAAATATCCACCTGGGAGGAGAACCTGGGGATTTATTTACCCCATCTGGACTGGGGCCACCCTGAGACGCCCCAGGAGGAGTAAGTGGAAGGGGGAAGGACGTATGGGCATCACAACCCAGCAGAAAATGTATGGACGGCTGAATAGATTTTGCATATTTACAACATAAAGCATGGCAAACAAAATAAGTTGGAAAAAATTTTACACCTTTAATGCACCATATTTTTTATAGATTTAAATCCTGTCTAACAAACTGTAAATACACTTTCAGTTTATTTCTGCAGTGAGGCCTAACGTAGCACACGAGCTGCCAATGTGGATTCCTTTCAAAATCATTTTAAAAGAATACACTTGGATGGATTGCAGGGTCAAGATCGCTGCATTAGTTATATCCATGGCAACGATTAATGTTTTAAGTCCCGTCTCATGCTGCATTTCCTTCCCACGCAGCCCAGTGGCCTCACAGACGGGATGTGATGAGCGAGCGCTGTGACACGCTCACAGCAGGTACGACCGAAACGATTCCACTCTGCGACTCCACAAGGGTGGACGCTCGGATGTGAGTGACACACTTAATTCTAAAAATGAGATGCGGCATGAAAAAGAAAGGGGGCAACAGAGATCCAGCACTGTACAAAAAAACAGTTTACAGCACCATCCAACGCTTCAGCATCATGTGACGCTACTGAAACCATTCACAGGCAGCCAAACAAATCCCTGCACTGCTCAAACACCAGCAATGTGTTGTTCTGACGACGGTTCTCCTACATCAAAGAGACATAGTGCTTATCATCCAAGAAGGTGCAAACTGACTTTGATAAGCAGAAAAAAAAAAAAAAAAAAAATTCAGGGTTAATCCCAGGATTACAGCATTATGATTTCCTCTCCATTTCACCACTCTTTATACTGTGCAGCGTGCTGCTTCCCAAATATATGCATCTTTGTGGGTGAACATGGTTTAAATTAGCAAAGACAAGGCGGCTCTCAAAGGCAAAATGACTGTTTGCCGATTCCCAGCAGCAAACACCTACAACTGGGGGTGAACAGGTTACCCTCACGTCAATTCAGGAAATTATTCAGCTGAGTTATTACAGTCAGCACAGTGTAGCTGACGTTCTCATTTCTGCTGTCCCCTGGCTGCAACCACAAAACTTTGTACACATGCATAAAGCTTGTTAGCAAGTGGAGACAGCCGGATATTATTCCTACTACCATCCCTATGCTACTTCATTGGGATCTATTAGGAAAAAGAAGTATTTGTTTGGCTTGCTCACATTTGTTTAGACCTCCTTGGAGTCCTGTGTTGTGGTCTGGTGCTATAGGCGTTCATAGAAAAGTCCATTACATTATTTTAATAAACTTTTGAAACTATTGTGAAATTAAAATTAACTTCTGTGACCTCCTCAAAGGCCACAAATTACATTTCAAAATGGAGGCGGATAAAGAAATGAGGCGGTTAAATGTGGAATAAAAGAATAACTCATTAATAAAAGTAGCCCTGGACGTGGCAGATTAAACATATTTTCCCAGAATGCAAAGCACAATGTTATGCAGGGTACTGGGTACCTTTAAAAATTTGAAGTCCCCTTTGTAGAAAAATTTGAAAAGTGGAGTCAAAGAATAATATTTCTTTTGATTATAAAGATGAAAAGGAGCAACTGCAGCACCTCCAGCAGCTTCAGTAGCTCCAAAGACAAAAAGTGTGCAGGGCTGGAGTTCAGTTTAGAGGACTGTGTGTGGGTGTGTGTGTGTGTGTGTGTGTGTGTGTGTTGTGTGTTGTGTGTGTGTGTGTGTGTGTGTGGACTCATGTATGAGGCTGGGAGCAGAGTACTGTAAAGGTGTGTGTGTCTTTGAACTTCAGTGAATGACAGACTTGGGAATGGTTCAAGGCGTATGTACCATGTTTTAACTTTGCTGTATTTGAATGTGCACATTGTGTGTAAATGTACCTACAACTCCCTTTTGCTTAATGCTTGTGTATTTTGGCTCTGTGTGTGTGTGTGTGTGTGTGTGTGTGTGTGTGTGTATGTGTGTGCATGTGTGTGTGTGTGCGTGAGCGTACGGGGGTGGAAATCTTACGACATGTGACAGCTGGTGGGCCGATGCCAACGGGGAAGGATGGAGCAGAGAAGGAAACGACTGTTGCCACGGCAACGCCGAGCTGGAGTGGCTGATGGTCGGGTAGCGTGAAGTAGCTGCCAGCTGAGACAGTGAGAGCTGCAGAGAAACAATGCAAATGATTTGCTGTTATTATTATGATTATGAACAACAGGGCTCAGGAATACTCCTAATGCCAGAGAGACACATGTGTCGTCTCAGATGACAACAACACACCATTACACTGCTTTGGCGCTCATAAGCCCCTCTCACTCCACCCGCTCCTCCACCCACAATCCTTTTAACGCTGTCACCCCCCCACCCCCCACCCTCCCGAAGACTTTTGACTGCAAACAAAAGAGAAGGTTGCTGTGGTTTGCTCGTCACGGTCGTCTTAGGAGTTACACAAGAGCAACAAACGGGGACATCAATCATTATCAAGTGAACTTTTATCAATAGTGGAACACGATGTGAAAAGAGCTGAGCAGCGCTACTCCTCCACCTGAACACGACAGAAAACAAGATTTGATCAGCCACAGGATGAACACAGCCAGTGCTCACGTGTTAACCTGTTTCCACTGTCTTCCAGGAAAACAGACACCATCAGTCATTGGAGCCACAAAACAACTTTTGTCTTTACTCTGTGAAAGCATGAATTCTACAATACATCCATGTGGATTCAGCAGTTTGGGTTTAACAAACCAAGTAATTATTTTGGTACAAAAAATTCTCTATTTTCATACACGCAGACACCTCACTGTCTTCACTGCACTTCATTTTCTTATGTTTTATGGCTTCAAGATAAGTGCTTGTGACTTGACAGTTTATAACCCTCATTAGTTATGGCTGACATACTATAGGAAAGTCTCAGCATATTTTCTAATGTGTCTGCCTAATGACCAGAATTTTAAAAAGACAACTTTCACGTGGGATTCTTCTAATCTTCACAGTTTTCTGCTGTTTATCTAGCTCGGATTAGCAGAGGCAGCGAAGTGGAGGAGCTCAGACAACCCCCCCGCCTGGCCTCTTGCTGGGGGGTCTCAATGCATTCCAGGCTCGACAAGATAGATTATACCTCTGGCGTGAGTCTGCCCTGAGGTTTCCTCCCAGATGGATGCCCACAAGGAGGCATCTTGAAATGATGCCCAAACCACGTCTCCTGGCTCTCTACACAAAGGAGCTGAGCTGCTTCAGGGATGTTTGAGTCCTTCACCTCATCCCTGAGGTTGAGCCCAGGAGCAAACTTATTTTGGTCTTTTGATCGTAGGAAAATCTCATCCAGGAAAATATGACAAGCCAAATGTTTCCTAAACTTTCCTAACGCATAGACAAAGCTGCAACTGTTTTACCACAAATAGGAGTGATTGGTTAATAATCGGGACTTTCAGCACCGATGGTTGAACGGTCCGAAATCAAAGATCACCGAGCAACATTTAACTCCAAAAACAGCTACTTCACTTCTTCAGGAAACCGAGGTCACTCTGAACATCGCTACAAGACGTCTCTTAAAATGACCTGAGAGCTCCTGATGTAGACGGTATAAATCCATCTGTTACTTCAGCACCACGGACAGCACCATGCTTTTACTAAAACTACTAATGGTATAATTAAATAGAAACGAAATGACTGTCAAATATGACCAAAACATGTAACTACCCACTAACTCTTTTAAGGTATCACAGGGCAAAGTAGTCTTCCTCCCGAGGTGGAAAGTTGAGCAGCAACGGTCGGACGAGTCGACATCTGCGCCATCACATCATCTTTAACAGCCGCTGCTTAAAGTCCCTAATTTAACTTGTAGGGACTGTGATACACAGTTAGCCACTTCCCTTTGGGAAAAGTTTCACCAGTAGAACCAGAAATGTACTTTGGAGGAACAGGGAGATCTTTTCTGTTGCGGCTCGATTCATAATTTAGACAATGCTATCCCCCAGACGCTTCTGCCTTTTAGGAAAGCCTGGCAGCATCAGAACTGTGTCAGATGTTCGATCAATCAGCGACAGAACATGAGTTGGATTATTCTAAATTTGGGTGAAGCAAAGTTTATCTTGTTAGAAAACAGAGACACAAAGTGAGAATGTTAAAAACAATATTATTGGACGGCTTGTGGCCAATATTCCTCAATAATCTGACTGTGTCTTTCAGTCGTCTGTTTGTGACCGTTATTGAATCTGTCAGGGTCAAAACAAATGGCTCTTGGGACACAATAAAGTTACTGCATTGATCCATATTGAGCAGTGAGAGAGGAGATGTTCACTCACCCACGGATCTGTTGGACACACATACGCTCACTGATTCTGCTATGCTTGTGAGGACATTATATTGATTTATATTCGTTCCATGGGATCTTAAAATAAATCAAACAGATTCACATTCGCCCAAAACTTTTTCTTCTATATCAAACAATAAAAATATATATCTACATGTTTACCTTAACCCTGATCACAGAAACCAAACAAATCTTTAGTCCAATTTTCCCCTTAAGTTTGTTCCATGCTGTCTGGCAGCATCATATTTATTCTGTATGGGGTTGTTCCGAATCTTCATTGAAGATATATGATGTTTACACTGTTCAGAATATTCAAAGAGAAAACGCCACATTACTGATGACTGCGCCATTTCGTCAAATGGAAAAATTATAGATGTCCTGTAAGTCAGTTTATACACATTCCCCCAAAATCCACCCTGACATGTCTGGTCTCCTTGGAAACAACGTTTGGCTGCACAGCATTCCCCTGTAATGACTATAGGTCAGCCCAAGCCTTTGTGCTAAAAGTAGCCACTTCTCAAAAGACAGGATGGGTCATCATTGGAGGAGAGATGAGGCAAGAACCCACAGCGAATAGCGCTGACAGACGTCAGGAAATCTTGCATTAGAGGAAGGCTGTTTGCACCTTTCCATACTCTGAAACTGTGCAGCTGGCCTAGTTAAAGTTTAGCAACTTGTGACTTAACGATGCTGCAGCCGCCTCACAGGATGAAGGTCCTAGTTTCAGACCTCACTAGGTTAACTTCTTCTTCTTCCACACCCTCCTGTGTGGAGTTTGCTCTGTATATTTGGATGCTGCAGTTTTTGTCCTGCAATATTCAAAATATATAAAAAAAAAAGAAAACTCAGACGAGAGACGAGGGAACAGGAAGTGCTAAAATAAAACTAACGTCCTGGTTTTAGGACTCATTCCTGTGGCTCTCTATTCTTTATTAACCACTACTCCTGAATATTTCATGAAATCAAACCTAATTTTCATACGTTTTATGGTCTGTGTTTTTCCTGCAGCAGCCATTTAATGTATTTACATTTGGAAACGTCTACTACCGTACAGTGGTACGTGGTAGCGTTAGTGACAGATTCTGTCAGTCCTGCATTGGATGCATGATGCCTTCACACACACAAGGGATTCACAGGAAACAAGGATGTAATTCATCATTGTATTTCATTGATAACAGCCTCACTGTTCACACTATATCTGCTGCAGATGCAACATCTCACTGCTGCTGCAAGAAACAAGAAACAAGACAACGGTCATTTTCAGAATCTTTTTTGCCAGTTTTGAATATTTCAGGTATTAATGGAACGAGAGGGAGAAGCCACAGTGAGCTGATGAAGAACTGCAGGTGACAGGCGGCACACGGCCAACTCCTCAGCCAGGTAACAACCGTCACTGCGTGGAGATGTGTAATGGAAAAATGATTTACTGACTCCTTCATTTGAACAACATGAGTTTGTTCACTGCACTGTAAACAGACGCACCAGCTGCTCCTCTGTCGTGTTTTTGACAAAGTAGCTGCTGAACAAGTGTTTGCTGTTGTATTAAACCTTCCTATCTACGATCACGGTAACGCACGGGACTGTCACGGATTACAACTTCAAAAGATCCTTATCAAAAATGTTTGTGTTAAAAAGCAAATATCAGAATATATTTCTTAAACTCTCAAATATTGAAAAGTTCTTATTGTCGGTCGTGTTGGTTTGACTCTCTTACACACAGTCACAAACACTGTTCAAATGCTACATTACACATAGGAGTGACCGTAAATGAGCTGTTGTGTTTGGATTGGTCCAAATGTCATCACAATTCAAAATGCCCTAAAATGTCAAGACCAGTGGGCTGTCACAACTCAGTCCTCAAAAGTATCGCGAAGCCATATCACATTTTACACACACACACACACACACACACATGTGATCTCACATTGAGTCACCGTGTCCTGCACCCAGAGGGTGTGAAAGACACCAGACTCTCTCTGCATGTGAGGATCTCTCTCTCTCTCTCACACACACACACACACACACACACACACACACACACACACACACACACACACACACACACACTGAGAGAATACGCAGAGCGAGGCAATTAGTAGTAGCATTGCTGTGGCTGCCAATGTTCTGAACTCAGCCTGTTTGCCCTGACAGCCAAGCAGATCATCTGTTCACATTCTGGCTTCATGGGTCCTTCATGTGTGTGTGTGTGTGTGTGTGTGTGTCCAAGGTATTCTATGCAGGTTCGTTTAAAGCATTCTCTCCTCTCTGTGTTTGAGGTGTGTTTTCATGTCTGCGTGAGGCCGTGGCGTGGAGTCAAACTCATCATGTGTCTCTGAGGCAGAGAGTCAGAGCTGCTGTGGGTTAAACGGGAGGAGGAGGATTAAAGAGGGAGATCCAGCGAAAAAGATGGAGAGATTACTGGAATGAAATATTGAGAATAAAAGGTGGAGGAGTCGAGCACACAAAAAGATGGAGGACAATATTAGAGACGCAGGGGGAAGGAGAGAGGCCCGGGGGGGTGGGGTGGGGCTTACCAAGTCAAAGTGTGAACACTACGGTGAGATGAAAGTAAGGACGAGTGATAATTGTGTGTGAGTGAGATAATGACAAAATGAAAATTGAGGAGGTGCAGGACAAAGTGAAGAAATAAACTGTGAGATTAATAAGAATAAAGAAAATGTAAAATGAGGAGAGGAGAAACATGACGACCATGACGACGATTTAAACATTTACAGAGCAACTGCTACTGAATCATTTTTGACAACAGACAAAAAGAAATAAATAAAATGTGCTTCTAACAACTATGTTTTAATTATAGCTTAATGATCTGAGGAAAACATCGAATTGCAAA